CTGAAAGTGCATTCACAATAGTTTGAGCAGTATGGAATTTATCAACACTTATTGTCTCCTAAAACTGGAAGTATGAAAATGAAGTAAGAAAATATACATAGGTGTTGACTGACACTCGAACAATTTTTTGAAGTGTAAAAAGAATCGGATCAAACTTTTGTCTGTTTTGGTTCTATCACAACTATTTGGTCCTTTTTATAGAATTTTTATTGGTACTCAGTTTGGTTTGATCCAGTTCATTTCTCATTTGAACAGAGCCATTGCTTTTAAATTGTTTATTAAAGGGATGATTATTACTGTTCTAGTGGCGTGTCACGGCAAAGAATAAAGGGATGATTAGTTTGTATTACATAATGTAGGAATAATCAAGCTAATTTTGAAATTCATTCATGCACTTTACAAGTTTGGGACACACCAATGTACGTGAGAATACTATCATGATTACCAGTACCATAACAATTGTTCTTTTTAGCACTGTGGTAAGATATCTCAAGCTTCTAAAAACTGCTTGGTAGGATATACAATTGGGTCAGCATGTAGGAAGAGTTAAGTCTCTTAAGAAAAGGAAAGGAAGAAAATAGTGGGACTTTCTATTTGTAAAATTTCACATAGCGCATTCCAAAATGTTTCAACTACCTCGTCTAAGGCATGATACATGCACAATTTTAAAATTGGTAGCACCAAGACTTGAATGCTGGACCTTTGCATGCTCAATAATCTAAATAAAGGAATTTAGCCATGTTTGGTTTTGATAAAATAATAGATTTTTAATGGATTTTGATAAAAGTTGATGAAATATGTAGTTGAAAAACCGATATAACTTGTGAATACCAAAAAATGTGTGATTGAAATGAGTTCGTGGAAAAAAATAGTTTTAAGAAATGGGGAGCCAAACAAGGGCTTATTCTCTCTTTGACATCATAAACTTTTTAGATGACGTGGTTCAACGTATAAGACTTGTACTTCACTTATTGTCATAGGATGTGAACATTTGGCCTTTACTCTCCATGCAGGTGTTTGGCTTGATAACTAAACCTTTGGTGAGGTTCTTACAGCCTTCATCAAAACCATTAGCCAGAATGATTTCATCGGAGCCAATTACCCCACATTCCATCACAGTACCACTTCTTGGCGTTGAGCAGGATTCCTTAACCGATCTATATGGACAAATCATAACAAACGGACAGGCTTCAGAAGGTAGTAGAGTTGGCCAAAATGTGCCCCGTCCAAACAGTTTACGGATGCTCTTAACAAGACCTTCTCGTACTGTCCATTATTATTGGAGAAAATTCGATGATTCTTTCATGCGTCCCGTTTTTGGTGGTCGTGGTTTTGTTCCTTTCGTTCCAGGCTCACCAATTGAAAGAAGCCTGCATCGTTTCCCAGAACTCGAAAAAGCTGCTACAACACTGAATTAGATCATTATCCCGGTGTACATGATCAAATTTTGGCTTTCATTTGTTTATAGCTGTGCTTAATTTTGTTGCGCTTTCGAAATCCTTATTTTTGAGAAAATAGGATTCAGTTTACTTTAATTATTTCTTATGAAATCATGCTTTTTGATACCCATTTTTTGGGCATGAGTCCGAAATTATTTTACACACAGAATCTGTATTTATATACTCTAATGCAGAATTGGAAAAAATGGGTGAATAAATAGTCTATAGTCTTAAAACAGAAAATTGAAACGCAAACTAGTTCTCTTTACATTGATGTTGAAGATTTCTATCATTGAAGGTACAAAAGGGCGTGGTAATCCACCAATCACTACACGGAACATTTCTAATTAGTTACACCAACACCTGCATAAACTCCTGCTCTGTGCACGCAACAAGAATCCGACAATCAGACTAATAAGCGTCAACACTTTTTGTTAGACTTGTCTAAATATGTTAGTTTTTTCTTGCATATTCAAGAAAAATTATGTTCTTCATAATTTGAAGTCAAAATCATACATTAATTTTAAGTTTTTAACCATACGTTCACAATTACTACCTATTCAACCATTACGAGAAAGTAGAGAGAGCAATCAAGGGAAAATAGCACGAGGTTAACCGATTATAATAAAAGAAAAGGTGAAAAGGTCACTAACCAACTCTTGCTTTAATATTTCCTTCTCCTGAATGGTGCTGCTCTTTTCTTCTTTTAGATTCGAGATGGTATCTTGGGCCTGAAAAGATTGTCACGGATATCAAAAATTTTGTCATCACCATAATATTATTTGCATATACTTCCCAAGATTGAAATATATGCATCTCCAAAATTCCTGGCATCCCCAAATTTTGATATGACAAGGTAAAGAAACTGACCTCAATAAGTTTGGAATCCAAGGCAGTTATTTTTGATTTCAGCTCCTCAATATCATTTGTGAATTTCAACTTTGTTTCTTCCACATCCTTCACTTGTCTTGATTCCTC